GTGTTTTTTTTTGAGTTGCAAAATCGACTTAAACATGGCGCTGCTTTTTTCGAAGATTCTCAATCCCCATTTGAGCCACAGAACTCGTCTTGGCATCGTTGCTAAAATTAAAGGCATTATGCTAAAATTTCATATTTTTCGTCCCGTTTTTGCTCATTAAAATTAGCAAAAACGCTCGTTTGTACATCATTCCAATGCCAACTTAATGGCTTTTTTAGAAAGTCAACCACCGATAAGAAAATGTTGGCAGTTTTCTCAAAAAAGACTTGATTTCAAGAAGCTTTAGATTTGCGTGTTTTTTTCTGAGTTGCAAAATCGACTCAAACATGACGCCGCTTTTTTCGAAGTTTCTCAAGCCGCATTTGAACCACGTTTCGTTTTGGCATCGTTGGATAGAGAATTGAAAACTCGATTCAGTCATGACTACATGAGTGAGGAAATTCGAGGCGTTTTGAGCGAGAAAGTGAAATTAGAATATTATACATTCAGCAGCGGCGGATCGAGCTTCCAAGTCAGGCGGGGGGATGCCATGTAGTAGAAATTCAGTCTTTTGGTTAATAACAAATTTCAACTTCGAGAGTAAAGCCAGTAGAAACTTGAAAGATTGACATTCTATAGAAGACTCTCTTTTAAATAAAATTTTGCCGTAAACTTGCATCTGAATATTTCCAAGAACAAAATTCACTTTCAAACTTAGCGAGGCAACAGCAACTAAACGAAAAACGCTCCAAACGCCGATCTTTCACTAATTTAATTTTAAATTTAGATCCATTTAGGCTTTGTTCAAGCCTGAATTTCATTCAGCTGCAGTGATTAATGCACAACGCCAAAACTAAAATTAATAACCGAATTAACTGTTTTTCTAAAAGTATAGACTAAATAAAAAAGCCGCAAAAAATCACGTAATAAAACGAATCTGTTGCTCAGATCCCGAGCGATGATAGAAACCAACGAAATTTCAACTAATTCAAAGTCCATTTTAAAAGTTCTGATTTTAAGAATGATTCAAAATTTACATTGAACTTAATATGGTATTCTTATCTTTCCTGGGTCTCAATCAAAGTGTGAAGTAAAGTAAAAATTTTGAACATAGTTTATTTCATTACGTTTCGGCGAGACAACAGCGCCATCATCAGATTTAAAATTTACACAAACTACAAACACCAATTCACAATTAAAACATGTTGTATAAAACTATAATTTACAAAGTGTTAAAACATTCATCAGTTTTTGAGGAAAAAAATCCTTCCTTTTGGGAGAGTAAAACACTGGAAAAACTTACCTCATGATTGGTAAAAATCAAAGTTCTTTTAGGTCTCAGTGGTTAAGGTATTCGGACCTTAAATTTGTCTGAATTATTTTCCACATTTGCGAGAGTGGTATGCATGTATTGATATAAGCATGAATAGCTTTAATTTTTCACTAGTGTACTGGGTGTTCCATACTTATGGCTTTATTAGGGTTTGGTAAATGTTGCTAAGGTTGTCGGTATCTGATCTGAAATTTACTGCTTTTGCATGTTTTTTTATTTGTAGCATTTCTTGAATTCTTCTTCTTTGATAATTTGGTTTCCTAATTAAAACATCTGCGTTGTCAAAATCAAAATTATACAACATTTGGTGTGCATATTGTGTTAATGCTGTTTTACTTTCACTAGTATTTCTCAGACTGTATTTATGTTCGTACATTCTCTTTTTTAAATATTGTTTAGTTTGTCCTCTATATGTGTTATCACATTCTAAGCAATTTACTCTATATACAGTATTTGGTATATACATTTTGTCAGTTTTTGGTTTTAGTTTTGGGAAACATTCTTCTATTTATGATCTCCTTTTTTGTATCATATTTTTTCAGTCTCCCCTGGCTTATTGCTTCATCTGCTAGCCCCAGATTTCATGCCTTAACTAGTCAAAATGTGCCATTTAATGCTCTAACCAGCGCTCCAGCTCAATCTAATGCTGATAAATGGGCAAAAAATAACATTTTGGCCTAGTCTAAGTTCTAATCGAGTATTTCAGATACAAATTTCGCCTTTTATTTCCAGCTTGAATATTTCTTGTGAACTAACCAAGAGCTCAATCGGAGCCAAATTCACACTATAACTAAGCTGACACAGAATGAACAATTTTTCTTGAATATTTGGCCAAAAAATGTGGTGACTTGTTTTAGGTGTTAAAATTCCTGTCGCGGGCCTCGTCAAATTTTAATCTGCCCCTGGGTTAAATGCTAAGCGAATTCAAAGTGCGGCGCAGTGAGACGTGATGAGTTGACCTCTTTAGCGCACAGAGCGTCACCCAATCAAAAATCCAACTCAACACAGTGCCCAATATAAATGTTTATTTTTTGAACCAATTTTTTTAAATTTTGCTAATAATGTAATAAATAAAACAGCGTGAATTTCGTTCTCCATCCGGTTATGATCCATAAAAGGTATAGCAAACAGGTGAGGACACATGCATTAAATTCTCATCCGAACTGTTCCCAAAGGGCCGTCCGAGACGCAGAAAATTCCATTTCAACAGGAAGATTAGAATTCCGCAAGGGACCTGGTTCACGTCCTAAGAATGCAGCCCGAGACCGGACTGTTTGGAAAAAGGGAAGGCCGCAACTCTTTGGGGAGTCGTCCTGGCAAAATTACATTCTTGTCGGCTCCGTCCGTTGCGAATTTGCCAATGTAACTCCGAGTAAATAAGAATGGATATTCACTTTAGAGTGTTCTCCAGATCCTTTTTTATTCGGGATATGTTTGTGCACGATTATTTAGGGATTAGAAGAGCATGCCGACTTGACTTCAAATATACATTGAAGCTAATTAAGGTGCTTAACGGGAAAAAATTAAATCAGTCATGGGATTTTGCAGCTGCGGGATGTAAGCCATCAAGGAAAGGAACACACAAGAAAGGACAACCGTTGTCTATCTGATAATGGAGTTGGTGTTCAAAAGTGCGGTAGCTGGCGATAAACGAGTACTAAGTAGATAAAGGATGAATCTGATTGCCAAAAGTTGAACAGTAATTTAAATGCAGTTGCCGGTCTCAGCGTGTTTGGGAAAAATTTCTCACCCAAAAAAAATCGAACTCTGATCGTCCGAAACTCAGTTCAAATGTTATCAAGCACCGATCGTCTTGGAACATTCGCCAAGTTGTTCGAAATATTATTTCGGCCAATTACAAGATTCGCCATAGGGGATGTTTATAAAAAACGTTTTTTTTCTCTCAATTAAAAATAAACTAAACTGTATTTGTTTAACTCCCTCAGAGCTGACATTTTCTAAATAAAGAAAGTTTGCAAATCTCTGTCAGTAAAGGATTAGAATTCTCAAATTTGCGGGTGTTTAGGACTGCTCTAGACTTTGGCTCATAGTTAGAGAACTGGTTGAGCTGTAACGCGGAATAGAGCGTTAAAATGCACACTTTTCCATACTAAACATCATTTTAGGAATGTTTCTAATTTTCCTGCAAAATGCAAAAATTTTAAATTAATGCGGGTGTTGAGAACCGCTTCGACTGAGACGGCTCATATTTAGAATGCTGGTTGAGCTGCGAAGCTCTATTGACAGATATAGATATCTACAGGGATAGAGCTTTAAAAAATAAAAATTCTTATATTGAACATTATTTTAGAGATGTTTCTAGTTTTCACAAAAAATTCCAATTAATGCGAATTTTGAGAACCGCACTTGGTCATGGGCTGACATGTGGAGAACCGGTTGAGCTACAAAGCTCTAATTTCCACTGCGCGTTAGAGCCAGAAAATGTTCATCTTTGTGTATAAAACATAAGAACCGCCCTTAGTTTTTGACTCATATTTAGGGAACTGGTTGAGCTGCAAAGCTCTAGTTTTTATTGCGAGATGGAGCCTTAAAATGCGCTATTTTTACACAAAACAAAATTTTGATTTCAAGTTTTCACTTAAAATGTGAAAGTTTACAGTTCGATTCATAGAATTATATAAACACACTTATGGACGCCACCAGCTACTCAAACTTTTTCGCTTTTCACTGCGCTTCCACATTCGGAACATAAAACGCAATTTGTAACCAGTTTTGAAATTATACAGGGTGTCCCTTAAGCACATGATCAAAAGAGTACTGCGATATTCTTGGGCTCATAAGAAGACGATCTGACCTAAGTTTTATTAACAAAAAATGTCCTTGGCTCCTCTCCTATTGATGGTCGTCAAAGTTCTTCAAAAAATGCATCTTTTTTGTAATATTGGGAGAATGGTACGATGTATTTTGGTGAAACTCGCTGTGAATTTGTTCTTATGTAAGACTCATATTTYGATGAAACAATCGAGTTCAGCCGTTTTGGACAAGTGGTGAATTCTTGAGTCTCGTGGTACAAAAACTACCAAACTTTTTATTTGGTGGAYAAAATTAATTCATTTTTTTCGCAAAAACCATGAATGCTACAATATTTTACAAAGAGCACAACATTGTAAATAAATGATTAGTGCATCAACCAAAAAAATGAGTTGATTTCATCCCACAAATAAAAAGTTCTGGTAGTTTTTGTACCGCGACACTCAAGAATTCACCACTTGTCCAAAACCGCTGAACTCGATTGTTTCATCAAAATATGAGTCTTATATAAGGACAAATTCACAGCGAGTTTTACTAAAATACATCGTACCATGCTACCGATATTTCATAAAGATAATTTTTCTGAAAAACTTTGACCATCAATAGCAGAGAAGTCATAAAATTTTTGTTAATAAAAATTAGGTCAGATTGTCTTCCTTTGATGCAAAGAATATCGCAGTATCCTTTGGACCATGTGCTTACGGGACACCCCGTATTATTCTGTAATATTTGTTCGCATTTTACTGAAATTAACGAATAAATCAAACTCAAACTAACAATTAATCAAATGGTAATAAATGCGCTCAACAGTTTCACACCCGACAGCTTTTCTGCAATACCACTGTATAGAAACTGAAGTAAATAGAAGTAAGTCCAAACCTGCAAAATGATTAGCTTGATTGGGAATTAGACCACGTTTACTAAGGGCAGTTTTATATTACACTAGCTATAGAAATATTCGTTTTAAAATATAAAAATAAAAAGATAACACATTTTCAAATAATAAAGGACAATTAACACAAATCAAGCTTTAATTTCTAGGATGACTGAACAATAACATTCGTAATTAAACACCCTGTACATGATTCTACAGTTTTGTTAAGTAAAATGGGAGTTTTATATATATTTACATTGTTATTGTTATTACTTCTTGCACACTTAGTCCAGTATGGTTTTAGTGTAGCCACTTTATTTTTCTACTGAAAAATGTCGTGAATTTATACCAGTCTGCTTACCAGCTGACGCACATAATTTAAACATATTTTAAAAATGATGTAAAACAAAATAAGAATTCCAGCAAAAGCCAAGCTGAATTGTTTACACGGTCCGAATAAAAGGTGACAAATTAATTTAATTGTGAATAGCGCGCTGTATCTGAAGCATTTCTCTAATATACAAGTGTCTAGTCGACTGTAATGAATGAAAAATAAAGTGGACATGCCGATCTCAGATTTCGATATAATAGGGTATTGTGTATTGTAAACTTACCTTTAAAATAAATAAACTTATTTACAAAAGAATAAGCAAAACATTGTGACGTAGAATAATTATATACAACGTAAAATCGACTCATATATACATACCTAAACTAGGCGATATAGCTTAACTTTAAAGTAAGAGTACTGGTTTTGTTTAAACGTAAAGACATACACTAACATGCACGGTACAATTTTATTATAAGAAGTTCAGATTTTGCACTTATTTTGCAGCTTCATATCGAAGAATTTTATAAAGAAAAACGATCAAAAATAAACATTTTTTGAACTGTTAAAAACAACAATTAGGTACGAAGAAATGACATAATTGACCGAACATTTGGCTCCCAATTAGATCCAGCAGAAAAATCATTAAACATTCAATAACAAAACAGGCGATTCTTAGCATTGGCTTTATAACAAAGTCGAAACGAGAGCGGAAGTGTTGAAATTATTTGTGATGCTAATTAAAAGTTTATAAAAATGTTAACACTACAGCTGCATCTTCTTCAACATAGATTGATCAATAATAAAAGCGGTAAAGCTAAAAGGCACAAAATTACACAATCCGGTTCGAAATTATGTAGCCGCATAAAAGTAGCTCGTTATAAAAAAAAATCAGTCCAGCAATGTCAATAAAGGATCTCACATCGCTACCTCCTCTAGTATTCCAGTTAGAATGTTCCTTAATCACCCAAACGATCATATTTTAATAGTTAGTGGACTTTGGGATATGGAGATATGCATTCAGAAAAATAACAGATTTCATAAATAGGGGCCATTTATCACCAATTGTTGCCGATTACCCTAAATAGATTTACCACTTTTATCATTCTCCTACACATACCTGGTAATTATCGAACTATATCCCTGCTAAAAAAAACTAAACGAACACTTTGGCTAAGCCATCAGCTCCAGCACTGGCTATGTATGGTCGTGATGGATGAAAAGCCACATCTAAAATGCTTTCGTCGAACTTCTTGCGATGAACGGTCATCTCTTGCACGCAAGTTTTCTTGTCCAAGTGCCAAAGTCGTATTGAACAATCGTGGGACCCTGAAAAAAATAGAACTTTGGATTGGAAGGATGTTTTTTTTTCAAATTTGATGGTTTTTTTGCACGCAATAAATGATTTTCGATTTTATTGGGCCGTTTTTTTTTCGTACGCGAACTTTCCAATTTATATAATACTCATATATTTTCCTGGTGAAATGGATATTGGTTGCACAATCTGGGGTTTAAAATGCTTCGTTTCCAGTCTTTAGGGCAACAAAATTTACAGGAGGTGATGGTTTTTTGGTTTCTAGAGAGGTGGAGGTTGGTTCTAGGATTGGTGCCATTAAAACTAACAATTTTTAACACTTTATAAAACGTACAATTTCACTGTGAATAATGTTTAACGAATTGTTTCTTTATCTGGCTCCGTTCAGTCAAAAATTGCGGTTGTGTGTTTCAAAACGGCCGGCAGAAGATCAAGAAAGATCAAATCGCAGCCAGCAAAAATTTCACGCCAAAAAACCACAGATATTTTGACGACAGAATTCAACAGTCCTAAAAACGACTTCTAAGTTTAATATTGAAAATAACTTATCGGGTGCAGAAAAATAAGAAATGCAGCAGAAAATGCAAAATTTTTTGCGCAAGAAAACTGTGTAATAAGTGAGCAATTTTAGTCTAATGGTGCGTCCAGAGTTGACGAGCCGGCCTGAGCCGCGGAAAATTCCTTTGATTTTTCGTCAAAACACCCGACAGAAAATGGATCGTTTGCCGAAATTTTGGAAATTTTGCCGCGAATCAGGCTCGGCTCGGAATTGGCTCGTTAGGTCTGTCTCAATAATTAAGTAGAATTTCCGCGTGTTTAGAACCAATAAATCCTGTTTTATTGGGTCACAGACAATAGGGGCTTATTGAAGCAGCTTTACTATATAGACTATGCGGACGCTGCTATAATTTCTCTTACTTACCCGAAAGAACATAAAGCCCGTTCGGGTCCACGGCTAGGCACGTGACAGCATCCAAATGCGTCACCATGGAATGGACCAACTTCCCAGTGTGATTGTCCCAAAAGCGAATATGCTTGTCCTCGTGTGCGGTGATGGTGAGTGGCAGTGTCGGATGACACACCAGCTTATAGATCTAAACAATGACTTAATTAGTAAAAGGAGAAAGTGGATTCCAAACAGTAACTAACCCTGAGAGCGTTCAAACTGACTCCAGCATCATTGCTAGCTTCAAAACGCACCACTTGCTTGCCAGTTTCAGCATCGAAAATAACACAATTGGCTGATGCAAAAGAGGCAACAATTTTATTCGGTTCATCTCTGACGAAGTCCACGCTGGTCGGAATACCGTCGCTCTCAGAAGCAAACGTATTTAGCAACTGCACCTGAAAAACATCGCAAATATTATTCGATTTCATGTTATTGCACGTGTCAAATTTACTTTGTTATGCGGCGACCACAGTTTCACGGTTCCGTCTGCTGAAGATGAAACCAACTGCTGCTTTGAATTGAGCACAGAAAGTCCCCAAACGGCATCAGAGTGCCCGTTTAAGGACGTGTTTAAAACGTAGGGCTCGTACAGATCATAAGGGTCTATGTTAGAATTGGGTACGTTCCAACAGTTTATAACCCCATCTAATCCACCAGAGTAGCAGTGCTCACCACTACCGGACATCACCAGAGACAACACCGGTCCTAAACCGACAAGTCATCAAAATGTAATTTAACTTTCGTCGTTTAATTACCTGTATGACTCCTGAACGTGTACAAAGGCTCTACGTCTAAGCTGGCGCTTTTCTTAGCGGACACAGGTTTCTGCAGATTCCACAATTTCAGTGTATTGTCTTCACTTGCAGTTATGAGAACCGGCTCGATGGGATGGAAGGCCAATGCCCTAACCTGATAAAAACACTATATAATCACCGATTGGCTATCTACTAATGTAAATTACCCCATCGAAATGGCTTCTCAATGTATATTTGGTATTCCACGTTTTACGCAACGCCTCTTTACTACAGGCAATGTCATATGTGGTCTCAGCTTCATTGTTCACTGTGAGCTCAGCTAGATCGCCCAACTTTAACATTGAGCCGTCCATATTATCTTCATCAGCAATCCCTATAGGCCGACTGGGACATTGCGATGTAACTGGAAAATCTTCTGATTCCAAAAAACCGTACGCCATCCAACCACACACTTACCTTTGTCCCATTCTGTAGGCGGAGCTTTTTTCGTCTCTTGCTTCTTCTCACTTTCCGATAACCGGTTCAGTTCATTGAAAACATCCAACGCCATCGTGTCAACGTCATCTCGTTGTACTAGAAAAAAAATCGAAAAATACCAACTCAGAAACACTTCACATTGTTATCGTCTGCTCACTTTTCGTATTGTTTTGCTTGATGTCCTCTTCGTCCACGTTGGTATCCATATCGACGTCATCGCTAATATCGTCATCATCTTCCATTTCCACGTCAGCATTGGATAAGTAATTCAAATTTGCCATCACAGCCGCTTCAGTATCGAGCATCATGGATTCGGGCATCGACCGAGGCTGAGTCTTCTTAACTGGGGTTCTTCGACCTAAATATATAAGAGCAGGATTCCATGAAAACTGGAGTGGAAAGATTCGCATTAAGAAAATTCTACAGTATGATTCAGATTTAATCTTGATCAGGCATCGACAGAACAAGTAAGAATAAGGTCCCTAGATGACATACAAATTTTCTCTAAATCACCTCGTTTTGGAGATAGCAGACGCTGAAATAATGCTGCGTTTTTTCAAAAATTTCATCATCAGTCACACGGTCATAGAAAATTCGGAACGAAAGCCATTTTTAATGAATAATAAATATTCCGCACAAACCCCAGATTAAATAAATCTTGTTGCGCTTCCATGGTTTGATAACATAAATAAAATGGTGGTGAATGGAGCACTACATTGTCTGGAAAAACATCATAAAATGCAAAAAAACATTTGCAAGTGTTTTCTTGACATAACTGTTTGCTATTGTTCTGCTCTGTTCTATCAATCTCTGAATATATCCAGATTCAACCTGAATCACCCTGTAGATGGCAAATTGTGCGTAGAATATTTTGTTTAAATTGGGAGCACACTAGTCACTGGGCGCCTCCAACTATCAAATTGTTGAAATAAAATTGTACTGGGTGGTCCGTTTAAATTGAGCAAGTTGATACCAACTGTCGGTAAATTGTGGATCGCTCGTCCCTAGAGACTAGAACAGGGCTCAACTTATTATTACGTATCAACTATACATATTGCAAATATTGAAATTGAAAGTGTGCCTTTTCAAACCCAGCGATGTTCTAATGACCTTCACCAATGAAGAAAGATGTTAGTTTGCTAGTAGCAGACTACTCGAAAAATGCATAAATGCTACTCTAAAAGGGTCTAGATACAGAAATGAATAAAACTCTCACTCGTACATAATTTCACTCATTTAATAAAATTACTAGCATGAAACGCTCTCGCCTTCATTATGGAACATTCCTGGAATATGAATGAATAGACGAGAAAGAAGCGAATACAAAAGCACACCAAACGAACTCTTACCTTCATTTTCGCTAACCCTTTTATTGGACTCATTGCCATTGACCGGTCCACCATTAAGGTTTTCTTCTTGGTCGGCGTTGTTGTTGTTCAGGCCTAGCAAAGCTCTGACCCGTGTTGATCTAACGTCAATTATCCGGTCGGTGTAACCAATTTCCTGTAACAAACGCACATTCAGACAGGTTAGCTTTGTTAGATCGACGACATCTTTGCACCTGTAAATACTGTCTCAGCAAATGCCTGCCCTGCTTCCATGTGGAGTCGGTCACAGAGACGTAGTTCTGATCCTGTTCCAACTGGGAGTCGCCGCTATCATCCATGAGCGGCGGCTTCATGTCGCCCTGCTGCAACTCCGTTCCATACTTCAACTTGTGGAAGTTGGCCCTTTCCTGCTTCAAGGCATACTCAAGCATCTTAATCCGGCGCACTAGGTCATTTTTTAGGTTTTCTTGGCCCTTGCGCTCACCTTGCAGGAAAGCTATCCTTGCCTATAATCAGAGAAAAAACACACTAATACCTTTTGCAAACTACTGAGACTGACTGAAATCTGGTGAAACCGCAGTCAACTCATCTATGAAGTTTTTCGAGCACAAGCAGCCATCATTAGTATAATTAGGAATTAGTTCCTGACTTCGCCAATAAAATTAGAAAGTGAAACATCAGTTCTTATGAAGTATTAATAAAGCATGTACCTGTGCAGAAGCGTGACACTCGATGTTTTTATGGAAGAAATTAAACGATATTTTATTATCGTACGGAAACGTTAAGGTTATTCGCCAAAGAGCGAAAAAATCAGCTCCTAGAGCCGGATAAGGGACTTTTGCAAGTGATTCACTCACAAAAGAAAAAAACACCTTCCCTTGAGTTATCCACAAGCAAAAACTTCTGAAATGGGTGGCTAAATTGGCTAAAAAAAGACAAATTACATATCCGAAAGGTTGTGGTGTTTAAAGTAAAAAATCGTGTTTTGCTCGCTTCTAACATAATTGAAACGGAAAACAGAACATTGCTTATTATAGATATATCCAGCAAATCCTGGATGTATTAAAAACAAGACGTTAACAGAACAGAAAATATTTACTTTTAGTTGATAATTGCCCAGTGTTAGTTTCTATCTGGCATGGCAATCCCTGGATCAATTGATTCTTTAAAAATCCCTTTTAGAAAAATGAAGCGCGAGGTTGAAGCAGTTCATAGTGGAAAATAGTTTTCAGTAATCACTGTATTTGTTGGAAAATTTCCTCTGGAAATTCATCTGGCCCGGCAGAAACTCACTGATGAACCATGGCAAACTGTTTTAAACTCGCAGGACTTGATGATATGAGTAAATACGCATAAAAAGAACCCTGATGCTAAATATGTCGAAAAGTGGAAATGAGGCAAAACTGGGAAGATTCTGATTTTGAAAACAAGCTCCGATGGATATGATGACATTGAATAAAACGAATCACTAGAGATTCCGTTGGTCACAATAGACAAAGTCTAAAATAAATCCAAAAGTTAAGAAAACTAGAAGAAGATAAAAAAAAACAGCTACAACAATTTTAATTATTTTATTTTTGAATAAGTCCCAGTAGACAGTCCCTACCCAACTCTAATATATTTTCATGTAGTATGATGATTTAAGGTTTCGATTGAAGTTATAAAATTTTAACCGCCGCACACATTAGACAAATATGAGGACAAACTCAATTATTAAGAATGAACTAATAATTACTCCCAAGGATTGAGTAATCTTACTGCTTACACATCAAGTTATTTTTGGACTCTTGCAAAGAATATTGAAACAATAGTAAGTGTACACTGTAAACTGTTCAGCGGTATTTATTTCCCACCGTATTGTGCATAAAAATATATATTTTTTATTAACTTAAACCACTAAATTTCAAGGTAAAAGTTAATAAATATCACAAACATTCATACAAACTACCCCCCATTTAGGTAATCTAAAAGAGCAGAACAAACATCTGGAACCAATTACAACCGAAATACATACCTGTGTTAAGCCGTTTTATTTATGTTCCATTTAGTCAAAGCTTTGGTTACCAAATCTAATATTTTCTCGCTTAAAGGGAATCGTTTAAAACGGTTCAATTTTCTATCATATTTACGGGCTACGAAGAGGGAATTTAATGCGGTTTAATATTGAATTACCTTCTGTAGGAGTCTTGCGAGAGATATTATACTTCTTACTTGTGACCCCAAAAGATTTGATAATCTAATGCGAAGATGAGCACCGTAAAGAATGGGTAGTTCCCAACCCCTTTAATTGGAGCTACTTTAAAACCCAAACGAAAAGTTAAATGCGGATACATTAGAACCTACAAGTGAATCACTTTCTCGGCCAAACAGTCCCTTTAAACCAATTACATCGTTATGACCAAACTGACGTTTATCGGATATATTGTGGCCGGTCCAGGTTTACTCAGGGGCTTATTTTTGATGGGTTATAATGGAATGCAAGCTTTGAAATTGTAGAAAATTGTCTGACCTTATAGAGCTACCAGGCCTATTAATAAAATGCAAATCAGTTGCTTCTGGTAACGAATTGCTGGTTTGAATAATTTAAGTATCTGACTGGGGGTGAACCAAAATGGGCAAGTGGTAATTGTTATGGGCAAAATCTATACAGGAGATCAACATACAAAGCCTGATGCTAATGACAAAGGGACAATTTAGAAAACGATCTGAGGCACTGAATGGATCAATAGACAAGAGGAGAGGAGTCAGCAGTGAGTGCTTACCTGCAGTTCAGCCCTATCCACCTCCCATTGCGATCTCTCCAGTTCGAACTTGGCCCATTCGTGTTGGATGAAATGCAGCACCCCCGGTATTGAGTACTGAATCTTCTTCTGCGTTTCTTCCGTTTGTTTGTTGTTGGCAGTGGGGGCGGTTTGGGGCCCCGTCTGTCCCCCGTTTTGGTTCAGCGACGACGATTCTTCCATTGTGGATGTTCCAAAAGCCAAATTCATACGTCTACCATTTCTCTTCAAATCGCCATTTTACTTTGTGGGCCCGGACGTCTTTCCTCTTCGCAGCCCACACATACACACACCGGATTCCACTCTATACCATTAATGAGAACTTTGCTCGCACAACAACAATTGATCACAATTTTAAGGTAAATTCTAGAGGAAAATGGGTATTTTTCTGAAAATCTTCCTATCAACTCTCTAACCAACCCATTAACATCTGGCACTTTCTTCTCTGTCTTGCATGCGATTTATATCGATCTGTCTCTGTTAGTGCCATGACGGACATGCGTTCTTCTTCATTACAGTTGTCAATGCCCGCCCCCCACTATTTTTTGCTTTCTGTTCAAGATACAAAAACAAAAATTTTCTTTTTGAAAATTAGCCAAATGCAGCGTGAAATATGCTGAATGGTTTGAATTCCTTGCAGGAAAAATGCATCTGCCTCCATTAAGATGATCATTCCAACGCAATATTAGTGCGACGTCATTGAAGCTAACACTTCGCAGTCTGTCAGCTTATTTTCCCAGCCAACAATACTACAAATTACCGAAAGAAAAAACAGTTTTCAAATAAACCCCTTGTACCTTGGTTCAAAAAACTGAAGCCAATTTAATTCTGCACAACAAACTTTTCGTGACTTTTTAAAATATGAACTCGATTAACTAATTACTTGAGTCCTGAATGCACTTTGTTGGCCAAGTTATCAATCTAATAAACGCCCAGTAACCAAAAGGCAACTTTAAACAATCATTTCCAGCATCAGGATCTTAAATCAGCAAAATAAAAACCATATTCAGTTAGCTGCTTTTCTATTAAAACACTAAATGTTTGATATAAAAATACCTATTTACATTCTCGTTTGAAATACAAAATTATTTTACATTTGATGCAATAAAATTAATAAAACTCTGTTGTAATTGCAATCGAAAGGGTTGAGTTGACTTGAGATGCAAATCCCTACAAATCCCTTAGCAAACAGAGGGGCCTGATGGCAATGCACTCAGACAACTTAAAAACGATCAGCATTTACAAGAACTCTTCACACCAATCACTCAGGCATTGCCAGCAGTCTGTTGATTGTTTGGAGTTTGCGGAGCAAACGTCCTTCATCCACTCCTTGAACAGTTCCTGGTTTTTCTTCAGCACTAAGAACTGGCCAAGTACAACGTAGGCCTGCAAGTCAAACTGTTAGCAGTGTGGCAGAGATAATTTTGTACCTTGGGGGGCGCCAACCTTATCGAATCCTGCGTGAGATAACCGGTCACCAAGCACTTCTCCTATACCAGCCAGATCTGTTACCGGCTTCTCTCCCATGGGCTCCACTACGAAATTGCGATGTTTTTGCGAAGTGCTCGACATGATGTCGCAACTAATTCAGCAATGGTGAAAAGGACGCGAATTTTATTTGAATCACAAAACTGAATAAAGCCAAGCCTAAAACTGTCAGGAAGAACTAACCTAATTCGACGCGTGACAGTTCGAGCGGTGTTGCCACTGCAACTTTGTCACAACTGTTTCTTTAAATTTACTAAAAAATAGTGAACAATAATACAATATTAAAAGTAATAACTATCTACCCGAGGCAATGAAATGAAAAACCGGTAAAATGGAAGCAAAATTGGGACCAATGCAGCCCTAAAATATTTTTGCAAAAAGTGAAAAATCAAGCTGATTCATTTTAGAGCTTTCCGGCAACAGGGGCAAAAGATCAAAAAAACCTAGCCAATAAGACACCTGTCAATCAAAAAAATTTACTCTTCAAGTTTTCAAAGTTCTAAATTCATAAGTCTTGTTCTATGATTTCGTTCAGGTTCAGTTCTTAGGACCTGTATAGCCATTCTGCAAAATGTGGCACGAAGCCAGAAGGCAGGAACGCAAAATCAAGGGGATGTTAGTTGACTACCGGAAACGAGCGGAGAGACGACGTGATTTCTATGAAAAAATCGTAAGCAGTGCCGTTTTTCCAGTCTCAATCGAATAAACACTCTCCCAAATTTGCAGAAAGCAGATCCAACGCAATTCCTGCAAGTGCATGGCAGACAATGCAAAGTTCACCTCGACCCAGTGATTGCAGCTGCCGCTGACAGTGCTGTAATGTAAATGGTTCATATAATTGCCCCCATTACGCATTCCCTAACAATCCCCTATTTAGGATGCCCTGGCAGGGCAACGAGAACAACCTGATCGACAGATTTGATGTTAGAGCCCACCTCGACCACATACCTCCGGTTCGGAAGGACGAAGACAATGATACCAGTCAAGAAGAGAGACAATTAAACTATGAAAGATACAGAATTATAGCCCAAAATGCTTACCTAAGTATATCGGAGGAAAAATTCCTCAAGCAGCTTCACTTGGAGGAGCAGTTTGGCTATACAGAAACTAGAGTTAAAAAGGAACCCAAAGGAACAGGGGCTGCAATTGGCTTTAACTATGAAGAAGGAACAGGTTAGTCGAGAAAAGCCCGGGTTTCTAACCTGGCCCACCTACCACAAATCTTACCTTAGATTCTTAAAAGCTTGTCCTAGCAAGAAAATGGAAGAGATATTGATGAAAAATACAATGCCATACCATTTTTCTTTAACAAGCTCGGTAGCCTGCAGGTACTCCTGTCACTGGCAAGAATTAACCAAATTGTTTTATTGCAAAACATGATTCCTATTGAAAATTTTCGTGAAAATATCTCCATGCGTTTGAAAGAAATTGATCATTTGCATTTTTTAAATTAAAATTTAACACCCTGTAAATCCGCAACGAAGCATGTTCGGGCTATCGTTTATATAGCAAAATTTAAAATAATGCCCCTTTCCCATGAAACACCTTGTGTATAGATGAATAAAATGTACTGAAAAAATCTGACAAATCGCATTTCCAGCAATAAATCTTCCTGCTCCATCGGAGTCTCCTCCTCAAGACAATTTTGACGATGAAAATTCGGACAGTGATTTGGATGTGGACCTGGCTATAAATGTATCAAAAATCGACTCGGCGCAAGCCCACGACATGAACAAACACGGTCAGCAGTTTGGCATGTCTGGAAACGATTTTTACTCGTTCCTCACCAATGACCTGGAAGAAGCCGAAAGCTACAAGCTGGCCAAAGAGGAGGAGCACGAGAAGGCATTGTACTCTGGCCGAAAATCTCGCCGGGAACGAAGGTGAGTATTTACTAGAAAAAATATCGGCCGGTTTTATAACTGGAGCGTTATTTCGAAGAGCTCACAGAGAAAAGCGGCTGGCAAATCGGAAAATAAGTCCTCCGAGTTATGCGGCCAAAGAATCTCCAACAAATCCTTCGTTTCGCGACGAAAGCAAGTCGCCGTCCCGATCGCCGTCCCGATCGCCGTCTCCTGATGCAGGAAAAATCACCTATATAACATCATTCGGAGGTATTTATGTCTATTAAACCTCAACCAAATGAATCCAAGCACATTTTAACAGATGAAGAAGAACCTGAGTTTAACTACCGATTGTCTTATGCGGAAATGGTTAAATATGGCAAGGCAAAACCTGGAAGCTCCAAGCCAAAGCCAAGGGATATACGCAATTCATTTGACGGCAAGAAATCTAGAACCAACTCGAGACGATCCAGAAGTAGATCTAAAATTCGACGCTCCAGGAGTAGAAATCGATATTCCAGGTTAGTCTAGCAGTTCATTGCAAAGCCATTCCTCAAGCGGTTGTTTAGATCTAGCAGCAGATCAAGAAGATCACGACCATCTGCGTTTTCAAGAGATCGCGTCCGAGTATCCCCACCTTCAAAGCGTCGTAGATCGAGATCACGCTCTTCAGCAGTAAGGAAATGTCGCAGTGTATCGAGAAGTAGGTCCAATTCATTGAGGGTGTCAAAGCCGAGTTGCTCTAGAAGCAGATCATCGTCTCGGAGACACAGTAGAGGAAAATCAAATAAAAGTCGCTCTCACAGCAAGTCCAGGCTCAGGTCAAGAAGTAGATCTAAAGAAAGGTGTGTAAGATATACCAGAAAGTTCGAATAATATGGCGAAACTATTTCAGATCCGAGTCGTCAAGATCTTCATCCTCTTTATCAAGCAGTAGCGCGTCTAAGAAGTCAAAATCTCCATCTAAATCGACATCACCTGCCCCTGTTAAGAGCGAACCCGATAGTAAAAGTCCAGAAGCCCCGGCACCTCCAAGAATCAGATATTATGGCAGGAAAACCAGCGATATGAGTTCGTCAGAATCTAGCAGTAGTGATAACGATGGAAATAGAGACTTGCCGTTAGTAACATTCGTCGGAAAATCACACATCCCTTTTGACTTGATTGTTGAATTTTAGGAGCACCAGCGACTCTAACAGATTTGGTAATAATTCAGGCACCATGTCCAAAGTCAGTAAGATCGCCCCGACTTGTAACACTAAAAACTTGTTTGTCACCAGCCAAAGGCTTGGAAAACTAATTTATTTTATTAGCAGAACTCATTTCGTTAGCGTTTGTTTGTTTTCAATTTTTAGAAGTCTTCCACACTGACTGTTATAGAACGACTTAGACTGAAACGCCAGGCTTTGATTAACAGGCAATGTAAATTCGTTTGTTTTGTTTAATCCACTTGTGAATAAATAATCGCTTTCCTTTCAGTTAAAAAGGACAAAATAGCGGAAGTCCAAAAGATTTTGCGCGAAAAGCAAGCTCAACAGACTAGGGAAGATGAGCTTCGGGAAATGGCCATCAAGCTGAGGAGAAGGTAAAGAATTGGGAGAAACTTCGTTGGTTTGGGTGGGGATGTAGTGGCGTTTTACAGGCAAAGAGAGCTGCGTCATGCTTACGATCGAAGCTCATCTTCGGATTCGGAAAAGAGCGACTCGTCAAAGAAAAGAGAAGTGAGCACTTCACCGATGAGCAAAGAAAAGGAGAGAAGGAGAAGCAGGAGCCGGGATCGATCTAGGCGAAATAGAGAAGTAAACAAGAAGAGCAAGCGATCTCGATCTTCATCGCCCTCATCAAGGAGGACTGATAGGCACCGTGATAAACGAGGCAGATCGCCAGATGCGAAGGACACTGCCAGAAAGTTGGTAGACTACTAACAATTTTTTTTTACTTTTATAAATAACTACGTTGCCTCAGAGGTAAGCGCATTATTAATGTGGGATGGGATTTTCCATGCAGACAGACTTGATTTTCAAATGCATTAAATGTTTCAGGGAATTTTCAATTCGGTGTTATTCAAATTTTTATAAATTTCATGCACTGGAAGTGACATATTTGGTTTAATCGTTGAAGTATAATTTAGGTCATGTATTTAGTCAGTATTTGATTATTCATTATGGTAATTTATTTTAACTTGGAGGCCAATGTGTAACTGTTCATTGGAATTAAACAAATAAAACTGAGTTGTTTTTTTTACTTGCCTTCTAACAGCGATCAGTTTCGTGGAATTTGAGCTCCGCGCCGTAAAGCTCACTTCAGTTATAAACACATTTTTACTACCACGTATTTTAAAAATACTTTGCTGTGTATGCAGGGTGTTTCATAATGATGTGCAAAATTTCTACCGAAATAATCCATTTTCAAAAAACTCCAAAAACAAATTTTGATTGGTTTTTCGAAAACAATTACTTTTTCCCATGAATTGAAACATTTTCCCCCACAACAACCATCTGAGAGCGGAAGACCAAGTATGATTTTTTACGCTCGATTTTTCCAATTGAGAAATCTTCGAGATTTACATTTGGTGCAATGTTTCTCCAAGGAATTTTTAGAAATTTGAACAAAAATAAATGCAAATTTGAATTCCTGAAATAATTTATTTCTGGTAATATGTAAATATTATTTTAGAATCCTCCAAAATATGGAGCACCTTATTAGTTAGATTAGTTAAAAAAGTAAGAAAAATTCAATTTAAATGTTGTCACCCTGTATATCGAGCAGAGCTAAAAAATCAGCAACAATTAATACGAAAAAAATGTCCAAATCTAATTCTAAAACTTTTTAACTCGGTTTCTAAAAAAAATCCCAAACAATTATGAATAAATATTCAGTTTTTATGTGGAGCTACGCCTGGATATTTTAGAACATTTTTCCGACCAGTTAACGTAAAGTTTGGACCGTATGAAATTTAATTCGTAATTAATACCAATTCAAGCAAACTTATTAGTTGAAATTAAAGTAAAACTAGCCTATGCCATGGTTGCCAAATTCGTCAAAATGACTGTATGTTTTTTTCAGTCAGTCACCTTGCCGCAACAGAGGTCAAATTCTGTACGTGCCGGAGTTCAGGTTTCTAAAACGTTTAAAAGACTCAACTAGATAATTACAGGTAAATATGCAATGCATATTTGATTGTAAGAAATGGGAAAGTCCACAACTGATGTTTAATGTTTTTTGCCATAAAATACCGGGTCAAATCTGAGCGAGCCCCAATAATTAGGGACCCTGGACTTAAAAGGGGCCGCCCTTAAAAAAATACAGCGTTTAAGTTGCAGAAATGTTTACAATTTAATTGAAAAAGTAACATTTGAAGCTGAGAATTTGTCTCAATAGATCACAGTGACCAGTTTCCAGTTCTTTCAATGAAATGAGATGATGAACATGATTTTCTTTTTATTGGCCTTTTAGTTTCACTTGAGTTACCTTTATTGATTTACAGCAACATATATTTACTTAATGTGAATGAGAAAATCCTCGTCTGTTCGTGTGAATATGTTTTTCCGTGCCACTTATTTACTCCCAAAGAAATGACGCCAATTTTGAACATTCCGCATGCTGTTTTCTAAACTGTTCCTCTACCAGTGTCGTGCCCGAGAGGCTCAGCACATTTTTATTTTTTTTTTGGTTTGCCCGGCGGCTGGAAGAATACAAATCTTCGCGAAGACACCCAGTGTTTCGAACCCTGGGTAGTGTTGGATTCTTACCAACTAAGTTATCCTTTAAAACTTGTAGTCCTCTCAAAGAATTTGTCAGCTCCGGCATCCGTATGCCATAGCATCGCATTCTCTCTCTTCATCTGCTAGTGTGGGCATCTTATTAATTTAACGCCTTACTCATACATGCATGCTACTACTACAAACACTACATGATTAGCACACTTACAGCTTAAGCCGTTTGCTACCTGTTGCCCTATTGGGCTAGTTGGTGTCTGGGCCTTTTTTTCCTGGGTCCCAGATCTTCAGGGGTGTGATTTACCAGATTTCGTAGCTCTTCGTCGGAGTGCCTTCCAGCTTTCTCGAAGTCTTCTGCCTCTTTCCTTGTGAGAAACTCTCTTAGTGGCTCCCACTCCAGGTCCCTGTAGAGTTTCTAACAAACCAGGGCGCATCTATGGCCATCCGCAGAAGTTTGTTTGCTGTGGCCTGAAGTCTATTCAAGTGACACTCGGCCGCATATCCCCAGGAAGTGGAGGCATACGCCAGTGTCGGCCTGATTATGGTCTTGATGAGGAGTAGCTTGTTCCTAATACTCATCTGGCTTCTTCGATTGAGGAGTGGGTACAAC